AATTGGTTCAGGTCCTATATTTAAAATTAAATCTGCTGTGACTGCGTTTAAATAGTCTTCTACAGATTATTCAGGGTCTGTTCCTGTGAATACCATCAGTGGTTTATTCGATGTTATTGACGATCCACCCATGAGTTATGGATTCATAGTCATCTGTAGTGATTCTGCGGCGTTTGGCATTTGTGAAAAATTTAAAAGTTGATTTTTTGTTATTTCGTGTTGCTGGAGGTAATATGGAAACGGTATTTCTTTTTGCATTTGAGTTGGTTGATAAGAATGCATAGTCATTGGGTTTTGTGGCGGTATTGGTTGAAAAGATTGTGTATTAAATGGGTTTTGTATATGCATTTGTTGTGGATTTTGTATATCTGTTGGATTTTGTGGGTGAACTTTCATATTTTGAGATGGTTGAGGTTGTCGCGGTCTCTGTGTGCGATATTCCTCAGTATATGGTGCAAAAATTTCTGGTTGATGATAATCATAATCATCAGATTATAAATAGTTTGTGTTATATGGTGTATGTTTTTTATTTTTATTTTGGTGAAAAAATGGGTAATTTTCAGTATAATCCGGTGTAGGTTGTGGATTTTCTGGAAAATTTACTGAATTGGTCGATGTTTTTGGGAGATTCCAATAATGGGAACATACGTGATTTAAATTTTGTGTATTTTTTCGGGGAGGTTGATTTGTTTTTGTTTGGTGAGCATAATTATAATTGTGTTCTGCAAAAGTGTTTTTTTGTGAACGTTTTTCGTGTTTTTGACGGTTTTGTCATTGGTCTATACGTCTGATAGTCCATTTGTGAATATTTTGGAGCCACCGAAGGTTTAACGGTTGACTGTAAGGTTACCTGTGGTAGTAATGTATTTGTATTTTTTGTTGTTGTGAGATTTGGACGTATCGGTGAAATACTTTGTTGTGTGGTTGTTACTGTTGTTTGGACTACTTCTTCATTTATGAAGTGTGATGGTGTTTGAATATCTTGCTGTGTAAGATTTCTGGTTCCATTGAGATTTTTATTATGTATGTATGACTGTTGAATTTAAGCTGTTATTTCGTGTATCAAGTAAAAATGTATTATGATTTAATGGTGTTGCGTCAATCGTTAATGGTATTACTTTTACATAATCTCTGTGAAAAGATATTGTACTTATCGCTTGACTCGAGATATCTTGTGGAATATTTATAGATGCTGGATGAGACCATTCAGGGTCCCAAACGTAATCTGATTGTTCTGCAATGACAGTGTCGTCGTTGGTACTTTGGGGTCTGAAATTTTTTTTTGCTTGTGAAATTAAATCTAGGTTGTTGGTAAAATAATCTATTATAAACCATGCTAAAATTTTTTGCAAATCATGTTTATTGTTTTGTGAGACTGATATTGATATTGTATGCTTTTGATATATTCTATGAATACTTTTGAAAATTCTATTTCAATATCGTCTGTTTGAATTACATATTTACGATGGGCTGTATTTGGTGTGCTGAATTCTATGGTGTAGATTCCGTATTGTTGTGTTAGGTTGCATATGTCTTTTAGATAATGCTCTATAATTTGTCTTTTGATCTTTACATCCGGGAATTCTGCTTTGCATGGACTGATTTCTGATTGAAACAAATTTACGAGTAAGTTTTTACAAAATCGTGTTTGTCCTCTATCATGGAGTGAATCTATAAGAAAGGGAAAAACTGCTTCTTCAACTGGACTTTCGTCACTTTGAGTGTGGCTCATTTTTTCGTTTGATGACTATTAATATATAACTATCAATATGTCTAATTGGTTGATTCCAATTATATAGGTGTACTGGTTTGTGTTTATATTGCTTTTTTATTCTTCTTTTTTCTCTTTTTGATGAGTTTGAAGTTGTTTCTGAGTCGGAAAAATAAAATTGATCATGGATGGGGCAATTTTTATTTATTGATTCCTTTAATTTGTATAGTTCGTCTAAACTGTTGGTTTCTGATTCGGAAAATGCGTTTCTATTTTTTGAAAATCTTTTTCCTGTGATTTGTCTTTGTTTGCTTATAATTTTTCTTTTTATTGTTTGTCGTTTTGTTCGAATGTATCCAACTGTTTGTGTATGTGGGGTTATTACAAGATATTATTTTAGGTTGTCTATTTCACAATTGTGTAAAACGATTGTTTGTTTCCTAAATTTTTGAATGACATAAGGTTTAGGATGAGGGATGCTAGAAAGTTTTAGTGATTTTTATTTTCCTAGACTGTTAGTCCTTACGATTTTTTGGTTAGCTTAACCGGGGTCTTTTTGTTCAGGGTTGGAGAGAAAAGTATATCGATTCCGGAGAATGATTTTTTTTTCTCGTGGCTAGTCTAAGTTAAGGTGTTAACTTACTTAATCTTACTTAGGGATAGTGATTGTGTTCAAGGGTTGGAGAATAGAAAATCGATCCACAAGGTTCAGGTATAATTAGAACGCAAGTAGTTCGTTAGATACTATTTTAAACTTACTAAGTCTAAGATCTATCCTGGGTCTGGTAAGAGGAGGGTTTAAGTGAAGGATGAATAACCGAAGTTCTTCACTGTTTAGCTTAATTTGAATGGTTTGTGTTATTCAAAATTTCCATTAGTCCTGGGTCTTTTGAAAAGGTTGGGTAGTGAATCGACGTTTGAGGTCGTTAGACACTTAATAAGTGGGTGGGGGAGAACAAAAGTGTTCTTTTTGATCCAAGGATAAGCCCTGATGATCAGAATTGAAAATTAATGATTTACAAAAATTTATTAAGATCCAAGGATAAGCCTTGATGATCTGGTTTAAAATTAAGTAAATTTTAGTTTAAAATGGTTTAAATTTATTTAATATAAAGATTTAGTTTTTATGATGTTATTTAGCTTATGATTGCTGTTATGTTTAGGTGATGAAGCTGGAACAACAGGATGATTTATATATACTAACAATTTATTGTCATGCTACTAATTTTTATTTTTATTTTTTAATAAATATTTTTCAAATAAATATGTTTTATATAATACTGCAGAAGTTGAGAAAACGATCTGAGATCTTTTTATTAATCGTTATTGTTTATAAGTGATTTTTTTTAGCGCCTGAAATAATCATGAAGATTTCCTTCAAAATTTTATGTTTGCAAATGAAAATCTAAATTCATTGCTAATAAGATTCTAAATATAAAAGTTTGTGTTGGCTTTTGCCGTACAACCATGAAACTAAATGGTAAGTTTCTACAAAGTCGTATATCGTCTCTTGTCCGAGGTCTTCTTCCAATACCGGGTAGTTCTAGGATTGTGCGGAATATCGGCTCTGATCTATTGAGTCGTAGAGACATTTCAATTAAGTTATTATCGTGCAACATTTTGAAAATGTTTTGTCTAATTTCTAATCTATACTTGGTTAATTCTAAGCTATTAAGGTCTTGTTCGAGACTTATGGTCGCACCAGATGAGTTAGGTCGTTGAGGTTAACTCATAGAATAACTTCGGATAGGGTACACCGTCTGCTCGTCACGCTATCTTATTTTCGGCCGGATAGATTCGTGCAACTTCTTAGTCTAATACCGATCCTGATCTTACTCTTATATCTAGTAGTCTCAGGATGTTTAACTAGTCTCTGCTAGGATCAATAGATCTAGAGTATACTGGCTTATTGCGTCCGCTGAAGTTCTCTTGGAGAGGCAACTAATTTCTAAGTTAAATTCAAATCTCTCTGGTGCTGAAATTACAAGTAATTTCAGCACTTACAAATAAGTGGGTTGTTAGTTGGATGGGTTATGATTGGTTAATATTAAATATTTTACAGTGGTAAAATATCTAATTTATCAAATAAAAAAATGTAGTTTAGATCAGGTTCCACTGTTCTTGGAAAAGAAAAGCAGACAATTATCTCTCACCTGACATGAAAACTACAGAAGAGGGAATCAAACAATGCCTCATAAAACGCTTCAATTTATACCTTTTGCTTTTACCACATTCCCATAGCTGAGTTTCGTGCAATTGTTTGTTAATACGATCGAAAGTGTTAAAAACATATGTTCCGAATTTTAAACGCAATAATCACGATCGCGTTTTTTCTCTTTGGAACTTTATATGAAGGTTCGACATTGATTTAATTATTTTTAAACTAGGGATCAATTGATGCTTCTATCTCAAAATGAAAATATATATAATTCAAAAGATACAAGATATAGGGTAGGTGTACAGTTGAAATTTTCCCCCTTTTGCATCAAAATTGTTTAAAATTATTTTCTCACTAAATCATTTTTACTGATTTATTGATTAACCATCGATTTTAAAAACCAACAGAAGTCATAGCAGGATCAGAGGCACCTGAAAACGGGCTGCAAAGTTCCACGACGTTCCCGCAATGAGATTTCATTTGGTTGTAAATGTAGTAAATTTTACAGAGAATGGAATCTATATTGCAAACAATTTAGTATGATTATTATTATATAATTTTTCAAAAAACAATTTACTGCGTGCAGGGCGGGTTTTGGAGGGGTGTTGGGCGCCAATATGTACTAACTTTGAGGGGGAGCAATGCAATTTCTTTGTCAAAATTTTCCAAAAAGTGCCCAAAAACGGGTTTTTGACCTGTTGTTTCAAAAGTTTGCCTGCTGCGCAGAAAATTTGGCCAAAACAGCGTCTTTTTAGTGATTTCGCAGTGCTCGGAAAATCTGCCCCCTCCCCCTCTCGAGAAAATCCTAGATCCGCCCCTGAGCGTGGTACTTTTTGTAATTTTATGAGGGAGGGGAGGGGGAGGGGGTTGAACACTTTTTTTTACTAAACTTTATATCTACTCTAACTTTCTGACCCGGTTAGTCAAAAGTGGAGGCAACCTGACTCATTGGAAACTGCTTTATTCAAAAAGCCCGTAAAAACAGTAAATTCCGTTAGCCAGTTAGAATTCCGTATTGAAAAATTTATCAGTGGAATTTGATTTTAAAATACTGAGAGAAAAAACAATGCGTTCAAATCAAAACTTCATTAAATTGAAATCAGTCTTAAATAAAATGGACTTTGACTCTACCTGAATATTTCTTTTCCGCTGACTTTTCACTTAATTTGTGTTTCCAGATTTTTCTCCTGTTTTTCAAATATCTCTACTAGTAATGAATATTCAATTGAAGAAAAAACTAATAAGCATTGGCTGTCACAGAAGTTCGGCGGCAGATAATTGATATAAATTTTAAAAGCTAATTAGTTCGCTGACTACAAACTTGAACGCACAAATATATTGATCAAAGTCATTTCATATCTCTTTTTTGTAATCATGTGTATTAAGTGAATATGCTTTTCGAACTAGTGTTTCAATTCGTACTGCTAATTGCTTAATTGTTTCATTTGGTATTCTGCGTATTTCGTTGCATAAAACTCTTTGGTGTTGTTTGTTTCTTTCAGAATCAAACATTTTTGAAAACTCTTGTGTGAATCTTTTCCAATCTGATTTTATTTCTATAGGTAAAACTAAAAACCATTTTTGAGCTGCGCCATCTAGTGTTGCTTGTATTAACGCGGTGCGTCTATGTATCCAATTTTGATGGAGTGGCGTATTAATTGGTTCAGGTCCTATATTTAAAATTAAATCTGCTGTGACTGCGTTTAAATAGTCTTCTACAGATTATTCAGGGTCTGTTCCTGTGAATACCATCAGTGGTTTATTCGATGTTATTGACGATCCACCCATGAGTTATGGATTCATAGTCATCTGTAGTGATTCTGCGGCGTTTGGCATTTGTGAAAAATTTAAAAGTTGATTTTTTGTTATTTCGTGTTGCTGGAGGTAATATGGAAACGGTATTTCATTTTGCATTTGAGTTGGTTGATAAGAATGCATAGTCATTGGGTTTTGTGGCGGTATTGGTTGAAAAGATTGTGTATTAAATGGGTTTTGTATATGCATTTGTTGTGGATTTTGTATATCTGTTGGATTTTGTTGGTAAACTTTCATATTTTGAGATGGTTGAGGTTGTCGCGGTCTCTGTGTGCGATATTCCTCAGTATATGGTGCAAAAATTTCTGGTTGATGATAATCATAATCATCAGATTATAAATAGTTTGTGTTATATGGTGTATGTTTTTTATTTTTATTTTGGTGAAAAAATGGGTAATTTTCAGTATAATCCGGTGTAGGTTGTGGATTTTCTGGAAAATTTACTGAATTGGTCGATGTTTTTGGGAGATTCCAATAATGGGAACATACGTGATTTAAATTTTGTGTATTTTTTCGGGGAGGTTGATTTGTTTTTGTTTGGTGAGCATAATTATAATTGTGTTCTGCAAAAGTGTTTTTTTGTGAACGTTTTTCGTGTTTTTGACGGTTTTGTCATTGGTCTATACGTCTGATAGTCCATTTGTGAATATTTTGGAGCCACCGAAGGTTTAACGGTTGACTGTAAGGTTACCTGTGGTAGTAATGTATTTGTATTTTTTGTTGTTGTGAGATTTGGACGTATCGGTGAAATACTTTGTTGTGTGGTTGTTACTGTTGTTTGGACTACTTCTTCATTTATGAAGTGTGATGGTGTTTGAATATCTTGCTGTGTAAGATTTCTGGTTCCATTGAGATTTTTATTATGTATGTATGACTGTTGAATTTAAGCTGTTATTTCGTGTATCAAGTAAAAATGTATTATGATTTAATGGTGTTGCGTCAATCGTTAATGGTATTACTTTTACATAATCTCTGTGAAAAGATATTGTACTTATCGCTTGACTCGAGATATCTTGTGGAATATTTATAGATGCTGGATGAGACCATTCAGGGTCCCAAACGTAATCTGATTGTTCTGCAATGACAGTGTCGTCGTTGGTACTTTGGGGTCTGAAATTTTTTTTTGCTTGTGAAATTAAATCTAGGTTGTTGGTAAAATAATCTATTATAAACCATGCTAAAATTTTTTGCAAATCATGTTTATTGTTTTGTGAGACTGATATTGATATTGTATGCTTTTGATATATTCTATGAATACTTTTGAAAATTCTATTTCAATATCGTCTGTTTGAATTACATATTTACGATGGGCTGTATTTGGTGTGCTGAATTCTATGGTGTAGATTCCGTATTGTTGTGTTAGGTTGCATATGTCTTTTAGATAATGCTCTATAATTTGTCTTTTGATCTTTACATCCGGGAATTCTGCTTTGCATGGACTGATTTCTGATTGAAACAAATTTACGAGTAAGTTTTTACAAAATCGTGTTTGTCCTCTATCATGGAGTGAATCTATAAGAAAGGGAAAAACTGCTTCTTCAACTGGACTTTCGTCACTTTGAGTGTGGCTCATTTTTTCGTTTGATGACTATTAATATATAACTATCAATATGTCTAATTGGTTGATTCCAATTATATAGGTGTACTGGTTTGTGTTTATATTGCTTTTTTATTCTTCTTTTTTCTCTTTTTGATGAGTTTGAAGTTGTTTCTGAGTCGGAAAAATAAAATTGATCATGGATGGGGCAATTTTTATTTATTGATTCCTTTAATTTGTATAGTTCGTCTAAACTGTTGGTTTCTGATTCGGAAAATGCGTTTCTATTTTTTGAAAATCTTTTTCGTGTGATTTGTCTTTGTTTGCTTATAATTTTTCTTTTTATTGTTTGTCGTTTTGTTCGAATGTATCCAACTGTTTGTGTATGTGGGGTTATTACAAGATATTATTTTTGGTTGTCTATTTCACAATTGTGTAAAACGATTGTTTGTTTCCTAAATTTTTGAATGACATAAGGTTTAGGATGAGGGATGCTAGAAAGTTTTAGTGATTTTTATTTTCCTAGACTGTTAGTCCTTACGATTTTTTGGTTAGCTTAACCGGGGTCTTTTTGTTCAGGGTTGGAGAGAAAAGTATATCGATTCCGGAGAATGATTTTTTTCTTCTCGTGGCTAGTCTAAGTTAAGGTGTTAACTTACTTAATCTTACTTAGGGATAGTGATTGTGTTCAAGGGTTGGAGAATAGAAAATCGATCCACAAGGTTCAGGTATAATTAGAACGCAAGTAGTTCGTTAGATACTATTTTAAACTTACTAAGTCTAAGATCTATCCTGGGTCTGGTAAGAGGAGGGTTTAAGTGAAGGATGAATAACCGAAGTTCTTCACTGTTTAGCTTAATTTGAATGGTTTGTGTTATTCAAAATTTCCATTAGTCCTGGGTCTTTTGAAAAGGTTGGGTAGTGAATCGACGTTTGAGGTCGTTAGACACTTAATAAGTGGGTGGGGGAGAACAAAAGTGTTCTTTTTGATCCAAGGATAAGCCCTGATGATCAGAATTGAAAATTAATGATTTACAAAAATTTATTAAGATCCAAGGATAAGCCTTGATGATCTGGTTTAAAATTAAGTAAATTTTAGTTTAAAATGGTTTAAATTTATTTAATATAAAGATTTAGTTTTTATGATGTTATTTAGCTTATGATTGCTGTTATGTTTAGGTGATGAAGCTGGAACAACAGGATGATTTATATATACTAACAATTTATTGTCATGCTACTAATTTTTATTTTTATTTTTTAATAAATATTTTTCAAATAAATATGTTTTATATAATACTGCAGAAGTTGAGAAAACGATCTGAGATCTTTTTATTAATCGTTATTGTTTATAAGTGATTTTTTTTAGCGCCTGAAATAATCATGAAGATTTCCTTCAAAATTTTATGTTTGCAAATGAAAATCTAAATTCATTGCTAATAAGATTCTAAATATAAAAGTTTGTGTTGGCTTTTGCCGTACAACCATGAAACTAAATGGTAAGTTTCTACAAAGTCGTATATCGTCTCTTGTCCGAGGTCTTCTTCCAACCCCGGGTAGTTCTAGGATTGTGCGGAATATCGGCTCTGATCTATTGAGTCGTAGAGACATTTCAATTAAGTTATTATCGTGCAACATTTTGAAAATGTTTTGTCTAATTTCTAATCTATACTTGGTTAATTCTAAGCTATTAAGGTCTTGTTCGAGACTTATGGTTGCACCAGATGAGTTAGGTCGTTGAGGTTAACTCATAGAATAACTTCGGATAGGGTACACCGTCTGCTCGTCACGCTATCTTATTTTCGGCCGGATAGATTCGTGCAACTTCTTAGTCTAATACCGATCCTGATCTTACTCTTATATCTAGTAGTCTCAGGATGTTTAACTAGTCTCTGCTAGGATCAATAGATCTAGAGTATACTGGCTTATTGCGTCCGCTGAAGTTCTCTTGGAGAGGCAACTAATTTCTAAGTTAAATTCAAATCTCTCTGGTGCTGAAATTACAAGTAATTTCAGCACTTACAAATAAGTGGGTTGTTAGTTGGATGGGTTATGATTGGTTAATATTAAATATTTTACAGTGGTAAAATATCTAATTTATCAAATAAAAAAATGTAGTTTAGATCAGGTTCCACTGTTCTTGGAAAAGAAAAGCAGACAATTATCTCTCACCTGACATGAAAACTACAGAAGAGGGAACCAAACAATGCCTCATAAAACGCTTCAATTTATACCTTTTGCTTTTACCACATTCCCATAGCTGAGTTTCGTGCAATTGTTTGTTAATACGATCGAAAGTGTTAAAAACATATGTTCCGAATTTTAAACGCAATAATCACGATCGCGTTTTTTCTCTTTGGAACTTTATATGAAGGTTCGACATTGATTTAATTATTTTTAAACTAGGGATCAATTGATGCTTCTATCTCAAAATGAAAATATATATAATTCAAAAGATACAAGATATAGGGTAGGTGTACAGTTGAAATTTTCCCCCTTTTGCATCAAAATTGTTTAAAATTATTTTCTCACTAAATCATTTTTACTGATTTATTGATTAACCATCGATTTTAAAAACCAACAGAAGTCATAGCAGGATCAGAGGCACCTGAAAACGGGCTGCAAAGTTCCACGACGTTCCCGCAATGAGATTTCATTTGGTTGTAAATGTAGTAAATTTTACAGAGAATGGAATCTATATTGCAAACAATTTAGTATGATTATTATTATATAATTTTTCAAAAAACAATTTACTGCGTGCAGGGCGGGTTTTGGAGGGGTGTTGGGCGCCAATATGTACTAACTTTGAGGGGGAGCAATGCAATTTCTTTGTCAAAATTTTCCAAAAAGTGCCCAAAAACGGGTTTTTG